ATAGACCAAACATCATTACATTTGTAAGACTCCAATAGAGAATAGAAAAAGTAATACAAAAGCTTCTCTAATGTCAGACAGTAACACTTAGGGTATCAAAGTAGACCTGTGCTAGATCACTTCAATTGTTATCTCACATTTTAAAAAGAGAGTGCATTTTGCTTGTGAAAGGATCTATAATAAAAAGTTGTTCTGCCAAGCAACATCAACTACTTATCCTCAAAGCATCTCCAAGAAGATGTGCATTCTAGTTCCACCTCATCAATTGCATTTTTGAAATATAAATGCCACCTCCAACCCAAAATAATATATATCAAGTATAGGTGACATGGCAATTGAAGAATGGATCAAGATCTAGGATAAGATCCATTTGTGGACCTTTGGTGCCACCCTCTATACCCTTTGGTGCCACCCTCTATACCCTCTATTCTTTTTTTCTCTTTCTTAATTAAGTTTTCTTGCTTTGCATTGGAGTATTATTTTGACATACTCTCTCTTTTAGTTAAAGCTTGGCCCAAATCAAATTAACCCTATCCATTTTTTTCCACTTCATCACCAAATCACCAATGCACTAAGAGCATTGGAGATACTCTCAAATAAAATGAGTGAACAGCAAATAAAATACAAGTACAACACATAGTTGACTCCCCAATGGTAGGTCTCTTCTCTATTTTCATAATCCATGTTTAACCAACCGTATATTCTTTCTTTTTTTCTTTTTTTACAAGAGATGTCGGAGGAGGGGGAGTTTCGGATAAATAGGGCTAACGCTCCCTTCATGAAATTTTGAAACCAAGACCTCTTGTATGAAAAAAATGAGTCATCAACCAATGGTGACTCACTTAATAAATACGGAGTATGTTAATAAATACTACGTATCATAATCCCTTAATATAATTTTCTATTTTTCTGTCTCGTTGCCTTCCAAATAGTGTTCATGTTCTTGTTGCTTAAAGAAATGGTGACTTATTCTTTCACGGGTTTCATCTAATCTTAATCGCCCATTTTTTATTTATTGTCAATCACATTTTATAACAAGTTCATCAAGTGAAATTTAAAAACTAGGATATAGCATCAAGACAGAAATAACAATTTAATTTTTCAAAAATATACATGAGCAAATGTGTTAAAGCACTTTTATACAATGAAAATGGGAGCACTGTATTTCTCAGTTTTGAATTTTGAGTAAACTTTAATGGTTTCCTTTATATATTCCTATTGATATAAAGCCTCCAAATTGGTGCTGAAAGCCATGAGATTCATTGCAACAACTGCAACATATGTACTCTCTGTGACTATGATAAGTTTTCTAGTTATACCACTTACAGTGGTGACAAAGGACATGGTACAGGCGTATAGAGACCTCATTGCATTTGAGGTCAACCAGCTGCAAAGTTACATAGCAGCAGAAAAGATAGAGCAACCTGCATTCAGATTTCACCTTCAACCTCAACAATTAAGTGATACTACGTACTTCTAATCATTACTGTGACAGAATAATGAAATCTGAAAACCTAAAACTTACCAAAGATCACCACAAAAGATCTCAACAATTCAGAATTCACTGCGATCAGGTGAGATAGATTCTTGAATTCTCCTCTTACTCTTCATATCTAAATCTTCTACTGGGATTTCAACATCTTTGAGCAGAGGAATCGATTCATGGAGGCCGTGAATCACGATCCAATCATCGGAATACATATCTGGAAACGAGATCCTTATGGCGCCATTCAGAAAAATTAGGCCATCGGCGCTCGTTATATTCATGCTAAACCCGTTCGCGTAATCCTCGAACACTGTTCCAGTACCCTTGCCGAGCTCGTTCAACTCCCTCCATGGCAGGAAACAAGGCAGAAAGTGCCTCATCAACAGTGACTGGTACACCGTTACATCACCGGAGTACGTAATCAGAGCTTCGTCCACCGGCGCAAACACAGTCAATTTTAACGGCGGTGTGTTCAGAAAGCCGAATAGCTGCAGATCCAGAAATGAGGCCATAATCAGATAGCCTCTAGATTTGAGAACAGCAGAAGCGTTGCGCAGTTGCGAGAACCGTTGCAATTTGCAAATGGAGGGAGGAATCAAGCAAGAGCTAGGTTCTCCAGCTATCTGAAGGCTGAAATTAGGGCTGAAGAAGTCGTCAATAGGGAAGACGACCACAGATTGGTCCTCGAAAATCGGCGTATCGGCCGAGATATTGACCCCGTTGATGGAAACAGGAGTACGATCCGAGCCAGATGTGGTAATGTACAGTGAACCGGAGGAGGATAGTGTTGGGATTTTGGATCCGTACGGGAGAGAGAGGAGGGAGGTGGATGACAACGACACAGGGGCGAAGTGGAGAAGGAGGTGATGGAGTGACGGTTGACCGGAAGCCACGAAGGCGGAATCCGGCGGAGTGAAGATTGTTAGGGCAGAAGTTATGCTTGATAACGAGGAAGAAGTAGAGTTTGAGCGAATAATTTCGGAATCGGCTATGAGCTGAAGTGTGAGAGACATGGCGGTGTAGCCGGAATTGGCGAGCGCCCGTATTGTGTCGAGCAGGAAGCGCGGCGGCGGCGGCGGCGGAGACCGGTTGTCTGGTGCAGCTGATAGAGACACGGCGAAGAGAAAAAGTGTGACGAGAGAGATCGATTTGGAGGAAGCCATAGCTTCAATTAACCTGTCTTCTTCGTGAAGGCGGGCGAGTGAGAGTTTGAGCGTCGGGCCAGCTAAAGCTGCTTCTGCTAATACGGATTCGTTTTGGCGGGAAGTCGTGTGCGTGGCTTGGGCCGATTAGTTTGATGCTTGGGGCATGTTTGAACTTCGAAATTTTGAATGCCCGGTTGTGGGGTTTGAAAAGCTATGGAAACCCAAAATAAAAAATAAAATTCCAAAAAATCAGAATTGGAAAATTGTAAATTAAATTTAAAAATAAAGAAAATGAATCTAATTTTTTAAAATAAATGGGGAAAAATTTAAAAAACTTATATCCCGTACAAAACTTAAAATAGACAACTCACGATTACCATAAAAAGTTTGAAATAGTTAAAGATATGAGAAAATGGTAAAAGGTACTGGTACAAAATACGATTTTTGTAATGTAATTCATTAAATAGTTAATATAATTTATAAAATATACATACGTAATAATATAAAAATTGGATGTTTAATAAAAATATTAAAATAGTTAAAAAAATAAAAACCTTAAATTTATAAGATAAGAAAATTCAAACTATTAAATAATATGAAAACTACTTACAAATTAAAATTAAAATTTTATAAATAACGAGTGTAAAATATCAAAAAATTAATGCAACTTTAAAGAGTATCATTTTTTGGAGAAAAAGAGTGTAAAATTTAAAAACTCGGAAAATTAAAATGTGAAAAATTTAAACAACAAACTTGAAAATTAAATTGTTTCTTTTTGTCCAAAACTCTAAATGTTTGTTTTTTATTGTTTCTTTATGTTTCGAGTTGATGTCTATATTCATAAATCCAAATTTGTATTTAATCTTATTTTAAATTTATCGATTTAGTTACTTGTATAAATTCAGTAAATCCAAATAGTAACATTACTAAGAGGATGAACTGTTGATTAAGGTTAATCTTATGAAGGAATAAAACTGAGAAATCTCATCAAGCTCATTCCTAATGAAGATCACAAAACTGGAAGATATTGAATCTGGCTTCACATATAATGTCCTTAAACCTCCAGAAAATAAAACACTCACTGATCTATCCATTATCCACACATATCCAAAATTAGATCAGTAACCAACTATGAAATTTGTACACGAAATTTTTAGTCAATTTTCTCAGGACGCGCATGAGTGAGGACAAAGTGCATGGTAAAGGCTTGTGGTGGTTTGTGAGGACAGTACTAGAGGTCTGGAGTAACTACCTTGGGTCCTGCGTGGCCGGGGTGTTACAGGCAGTATCAGAGCAACCCTGCGACAATGTGTTGATCCGTTAGATATCAGGCGGGCACTTAGCGGGGCAAGATTCTGGGATTTGTTTGAGATTTTAGATTGGTTTATGGGTGCAACGAGGATTTGCGTTCCTAAGTGGGGGTGATTGTAACACTTGAAATTTAATTTAAACGGATTAATAGTACTACTCATAGCAACACAGATGCATCTCCTTTTAAGGGAGCTCATCACCCAAGAACTCCAAAGTTTAGTGTGTTCGCACGAGAGTAATATTGGGATGGGTGACCCCCTGGGAAGTTTCTCAGAGCGCGGACAAGTGAGGACAAAGTGCGCGGTAAAGGCTCGTGAAGGTTTGTGAGGACAATACTAGAGAGTCACCCATCCTAAGACTACTCTCGTGCAAGCACGCTTAACTTTGGAGTTCTTAGCTGACGAGCTCCCTTAAAAGGAGATGCATCTTGTTGGTATGAGTGCTACTATTAATCCGTTTAAATTAAATCTCGGGTATTACAATCCTGTAACACCTCGGCCACGCAGGACCCGAGGTAGTTACTCCAGACCTCTAGTACTGTCCTGACAACCCACCACGAGCTTTTACCGTGCACTTTGTCCTCATTCATCCTTACTTTGGCTCCTTGTATATCTCTCGTCGTTTCCATCTCATCTTCCATAGGTGGAGTCTCAAGGAAGACAAATGAGTATGCCCACAAAATCCATGGCGGAAGAGTTTCCGAGAGAGAAAAAGCTTTTACCGTGCACTTTGTCCTCATTCATCCTTACTTCATTTTCATTATATTGAAGTGAAAATCTAAAAAGAATATTATCACATTATTGAATATATAGAAACTCGTCAGTCTTTATCTTTATTCTAGATTGAATATTAGCTCTAATTCATAGTTGCATTGTTGAAGCTAAAATTTAAATAATAAATTATGTTGCAAAACTACAGAAGTAGTCATATGCACTAGAATAATAGATGTTAATAGTTATTATTGATTTCCAGAAGTTCAGTATTCTTTAGGTCTATACCAAATATAATATAAAATATGTAAAAGGAATGGATAAGATAATTTACACACACAGATTTAGCTATTTTGCAACAAATGAATGCATACATGGATATAAAATTATTTTTTTGAACAATATATTTACAGAAATGAGAAAAATATAAAATCTTAAATGTATTATTTTTGAACGGTTTAGACTGGTATTTTTTATTCTCAAAATCTAGAACATGTCCTATACCCGTTTCAAGTGGTACGATTTTGGTTCGGGATAAAAACCTATAGACCGTTTAAATACCGAATATATGGGTTGGTACCATTACGGGTCAATTCGGTATGAGTTCGATTTAGTTTTTATGCCCACCCTTAACATCTTTTCTTATTGGCAATGTCTATTGGTGTTAACTTGGAATTTCCAAGGAACTTAAAAGAGTAACTATAACATTATGCAAATATACAATTGTGTAGCTTAGCTTCACAATCGTTATTCATGTATTTGACATCTTTTGTTATTTGATCTTCTAAAGGATATTTTGGTTGTGAGTAGTCCAGGCAGAGCTGCCGATCATAATCCGGCCTTTCCACCCCTGCAGAACCCAATGACCGTCTTCCGCAAACAGAAAGTCTTTGTGGCATCCTTCCCTAGCCTTGCCTCTCGACCTTTTGACAATTTGAGGATTCAGGGCCATAGGCTTGAACCCCGCCCTCATCATGCGACTTTGCCACTGCATGTATGTTTCAGGCCTCTCTAACCTTTCCATGCCCTCGCATGCTACAATATTTGTTATGACAGGCCCCAGAACTGTTTGTTCGAAATTTAACCTTTGACCATCGTGGTGTGGGAAAATAGATTCAAGCATATCAAAGGTAGCAGAGAAGAAGTAGAGAGCCGACCGGACCCGATTCACAAAGAAAGGAGAGTTGTAAGATGCACTAATCACAGAATTCACAAAGATGTGAGGGTTTACTTCCCGAATTAAGTTTAAGAGACCATCCCTTGGGCAATCCGCACCACATACTGTCTCGTCTAGTAAGCTTTTGAGTCGAAGAGTACAATTAACAGCAACCACCTCACCCCTCGCAAGCTTTAATTCATCTATCTTTATTGCCTCCCAATTCTTTGTTGTTATGGAGTTGTATTCAAATGGTACTCCGAAGCGTTTGCAATATTTAGCCAAGCGACAACCAGTCTCCAATACCATTTGGGAAGGACGAAAACCAGGTTGGGGAAGCTCAATCCCAGTTATTCGAAGTTTTGGAGGGCCACTGGGTCTTTGTGAAAGATCTCGAATAAGAGTGGGCCACTGGATACCATGGAGAATACCGAAATCTATAACATGCAGTGATGCGCCTCTGGATGCTACTTCGTAAATCGTTCTATTCGCAAAGAAGGTTAATGTCCTCATAAAAGGGACATATGATGAAATGTGGGTTTTTTGCATTTCGGGAACTGCTATCTTATTGTCAAAAGATGATGACGCGTGCAGTTCTTCCCCAGTTCCTGCCAGTCGGGCCTCAAGGCTATTAGCAAATGCATGTGCCAGCCTTTGGTTTGGATCACCAGCAGGGGAAGAGTATTGCCTGATCGTCCTTAGTTGTTTTGCTGCCACCTTGTAATCAGCAGCTGCAATTGACTTTGCGCAGCTGAGTAGAAGAGACTCCACATTCACAATTTCACAAGTATCTCCTCGTTTATTTGCATGACCTTTGTGAGCACTTCGTCCTTTTTGTTGTTGTTCTTGTTGTTGTTTGCCTGCTTGAGATGTAGAATCATCAGTACACAACAGAACCTTATCAAACATTTCTGATAAGTCATCCTCCTCTTGATAAGTTGCACTCTGCTTCCTGCTCATTCCCTCTACTTTTTCTTCTACTAGTTCACTTTCACCTGAAAGGAAATGCTTCATTCCTCGACATGAATCAGTTGAATGGTCCTCTTTCTCCATTGTCACAACTCCACCCCTGGTTAATGAGTATATTTCATCGAAATGGATGAGCATCGGATTATTGGCAGGAAAGAAAGTTCTTGTTTCCTCCAAACCTCTCTGAAATTAAAAAAATAGAAGCAATATCATCATCAAACAATGTATTTGGAACCAAATTAGCACTAGTTAAGCTATTAAAAGAATCGTCTGTTGTTTTGTTTGTCATTACGCACCTCATATTTTAAATCCTATGCATTAAAAAATGATAATGATCAAGTATATATGGAGTTTTTTTTGCCATATACTATTGGAATGATGCAAAGTGATTTTTTCTTTGCGGATCTTATTTCAATTATGGAAGATTTTTTATTCCATATTTAGTAAGGATTAGGAAATTCTTCACCACAACATAAAAGGGGTTGATGCTTCATAGTTTATACACGTACTCATTACTCAGAATGCCATGAATAATTTATAAAAGCCAGATTCGATGCATTAACTCATAAAAGAATTATAACCTCTGCATCGTAGTCAAGCAACTTAAAAGGAATCATTAGAGCTCCCAAAGCTTACTACGGGAATTGTGATGTTTCTCTAAAACAAAGCACCTTATGAGATCGATCCTGCACAAACATAAATAGAATATATTGCAGAAAATCAAATCACGAAACCAAACTTAAAACTTTTAGGAAAATTAAACAATAGAGCAATATATATTGCACTTATTAATGGACTATGAGTGGGTTTACCTAGGAGTGGGGAAAGTGGCTGGGATGTGATTTTTTTTCATAAATTGAATTGGAGGTTAGAGCTGTGAATTAAGCTAGAAATCGAAAACAGCTAGACGTGTCAAGTTCGATGTTTTATAAAAACTGTTAGGGTGGTTACAACTGGGTGAAAAGTGGAAATTTATTCTTATAAATTTGCAAAAAAGTGTTTGGTTACCTAGCTATCAACCAATTTTTAGCCGATTTGACCAATGTTTAGCTCTTTGACCTGATTAATTAGCTGATTGAGGTGTTTGGTTAATGGCTTTTTCAATTAGCTGTTTACCCCAATCAGCCATTAGAAAACGCTGACAAATGTGGTGTTTCGGACTTGGCTGTTTGAGAATTTAGAAAGTTTTCCCAATTTACCCGGATCATCTTCTCTGCGTGCTCGGTCATCTTCCGCAAGCAGCAAAAAGCAACGAGAAAGCTTTCTTCTTCACATACGACGTCAAGTATTATTCAATTTCAACATCAAATATCATGCTTTTAAAAACACTGTAGATCCCATCGGTATTTTGATATTTAAGGAGGCTAGATAATGCTTACGGCAGCCCATGATTTTTTATCACTCCATTTATTTATCAAAATATAATCATGCTAATTAACTTTATACGGAAAAATGTTTAAAAGCATCGTTAATTGCGTCAATAATTTTTGATGGAGTATTTTTCTTAAAAATTAAGTTTGTGTACTAATAATATTAACAAAACGTATAATATGTGTATAAAAGTAGTTAGAAAATAAAAAATTCAATTGATATCTTTAATCATTTTATAATTTATCAGCTGATTACAAACAGTTATTTAACCGAACACAATTCTATAAACAACTGATACTAGCGGCTAATCAAGGCTAATCAAAACAGATAAGCAATCCGCTTTCACGAGTTCGGCAACAACCAATTGCCAAACTCCTCGTAAAGGATCTGAGCGACGATGAAAATTCCTCGATGGAGGCCGGAAGCTCCAATCCACCATCGTCAATGAGAAGTTCAAAGCACCATTTCAATGCCGGCGAAAAGCTCCAATCCACCATCGCCGGTGAAAAGTTTAAAGCACCATTTCAATGCCGGCGAAAAGCTCATCGCATGAAGAAAAGCTCAATGCCGGCGAAAGGCTCAATCGCTTCCTCTGTCCAAGCATCTCAAGTCCGAGTCATTCGATCTTCAGCTCATGAAGTCATGAGTTAGTTCATCTTCAAGTGAAAGTATATATTCTAGGTTTAAATTATTCTGTATATTTTCTCTTGTGAACCAATTTACTTTCCCTAAAAACTAAGAGCGATGTGTTTTCGTCGACATTAAACTACGATGAGAGTGTTAATTAGATATACTAACTTGTCTTTTTTGTAAAACATAGCATGACTTTTTTATTCTTCGTATGTGGATTGCTTTTGGTTTTCACATTTCTTCTGAATTTTAGATTTGTATTGTGTTTCACATTTCCTTTGACATGTCTGCCAAGTGCCAACACACGATGGTTAGGGTTTCAGATATCCACAAATTCACTCTCATTTTGTTTAATTTAAAATTTACTTTTATTATATCCAAAAGATAGCACCTTACCTAATACGTAGTACATATTATATATTAAGTCTTAATTATACACTTTCACACAATTTTGAATGCAATGTGATTACCAATGATTAGCATTGTACATTTGGGAACTGAATTGAGTAATAAAAGCCATGCTCTTTCACTGTTTGTTTGTAGGCCTCAATTTGGGAACTCAATTTGTTTTCTATTTTTATAATGCAGACAATACTTGGTGTGCCTGAAGAGAAAGTTTATGAGAATGTAGATTGGTGTGCCTGAAGAGAGCTCATTGGGTGAGAAATGATATCATGTCTCTTCATGGCCTGCAAATTCCCCTGTTTTTGTGTGCTCGCATCTTTCATTGTCTCAAAATGACACTTTGGAATGTTAGTAGCTTTTGAGAATTTCAAAGGACCCTTTCGGATTAAGGATGTTTGTAACCATTTTGTATTTTGATAGATTTTCAATGTATCATTTCTATCACTCACTTGGTCATGATTGGTTATCTTTATGGGAAACGTAAAGGGATGGTTTGGGTGAGGGATATGAAGTACTTGGTCAAGCAGGAAGTGGCGAATTATGTTTATCACTCGGTAAGCTGGTAGTAGCAAGCGTGCAACCAAAGTAACAAAGAGGTATGTTAAGCTCATTTTCCTTCTATTTGATCATCTTGGTGAAATTAAGCTGCTGTGGTGTTATCAAGACATTAAGAAAAGATGTATGAGAAAAAAGTACTCATGTTATTTCTACTCTTATATGCTTTATTAATATGGCATGAACAAAATATTGGTGGCATGAGAAAAATAGGCTAAGACTTCTCACTACATTTTGTCGTCAAAACCCTGGATTGCTTGAGAAGTCTTTTGTAACAATAGTTCTAGCAGTCAGGAACCTCTTAAAGAAATTATTTTCACGTGAGAGCAAAATAAGAGCTAGTTTGAGGGTGTAGTTTTACTTTATTAGTGTTTGAATAATTTTTCTAATCCTTTTTTCTGTGCTGTTTTTTTTCTTGATTTTTTTATGTGTTAGATCATTGGGAGAGCAGTTATGCTTGATTATGTTTGAATTAAGAGTATGTGCCGAAATAAGGTCCAAACATGAAGTTTTATGGGGGTCAAGAGTTAGGGTATAACTTGATATATAATCCAACACGATTAGGTAAGACTTGAGTAAGATTTTTTATAAAGCATGATTAATGTGATATACTTTTACCATGTTGGGCGTACTGTCTTTTTATACAACTTGTGTATCTGGTTCAATATATATTGTATTCTCCGTATAATTTTTTAGTTACTTGCAATTTTAGTATGTCAAATTTTGCCTTTAGATGCCTTTTCCTTCCTGTTTTGATTTGAAATTGAACACTAATGTTTGGAAGGGACATCTGCAATTATATTTTCTTACCTCTGCTGGTAGTTCTTGTGTTGTAGACCATACCATTATTATTATTCTCAGAATCTATGGGAGATCATTGGTTTTTTGAAATAATTTGCTTATAAATTTAAAATTTTAATTGATTGTGGTATAATCTGCATAATATTACTTTATTAACTTGTGTCTCTTTAAAATGTCTTACAGGAGGAATTCTTATGGTCTATACTAAACTGGATATTTCAAGGGATGTCAGCCATTTATGCACTCCTCTATGTTGATCCTGCCATCGTTATGATTTTTTTTTATATCTCAAATACTGTAAATAAATTGACCCAAAATGAGTCAAAAAGTAATTGTATTATTATAGTTTTGATCATATGTAAAACCTTGAGTTAATGTTATAATACAAATTGTTGGTATGTATGACAGTATGAGCAAGGGAATATATGTTTTTGTATGTGCAATTAAATATTTCAATGAATAAATGCTATATAAAAAAGCATAGCCAAAACGATACTAGGTACAATATAAGCTACACTTGATAAGGTTTGTTTCACAAAAGACATTGTGCAACATAGAGTTGCAACACGCAAATATAGTATATGCCACCCTTGATAAACTTTGTTGCACAAAATACTTCTATGAGCAATGGAGGTTTTTGATGCACAAATTATTGTTTTGGGCAATGAATATTTCGTGATGCACATGATAGATTTTGGGAAATGAATATTGAGTTCATCACATAAAGTACAATGGGCCACGATGCTTAGACAACGACCTTGTGACGATTTAAATTTTGTTGCACAATAGAATGTGCAACAAAAGAGTAACTTTTAACAACGATTTTTCTGTTGCACAAAATTGTTTTTCTCGTAGTGTTCATACCAAGTATTTTTTAGACCAATATTACATAAAAATGTTTTTTAAAATTAAAGTTCAAATTATTGGAGTTTTTTTAGACATTTTTTTCATAAACAGATCTAAGTACTAAACTAATATCTCATGGTTATCTTTCTTTATATTTTTCTGTTATATAAAAAAGGACAAACATATTACCTCCACATTTCTAGAAGGCAAAAATATGATTAGTTTTTTTAAGCGTGACTAATATTTATTTAATTAAGAAAGAATGACAAATAAATTATTACTACCTCCGCCCAAAACTTTGACCAATTCTATATTGTTATTGGAAATTATTTATAATATAAAAATTATACTAGACTAAAGGGTAAGTTTAATAGGACAGCAATTAGGCCTACATTACTGTATGGCCTAGAAAGTTTGGCGGTGAAACAATGTCACATTCAAAAGATGAGTGTGGTGGAGATGCGCATGCTGCGTTGGATGTGTGGGCATACTAGGAAGGATCACGTGAGGAATGAGACAATCAGACAAAGGGTAGGAGTAGCACCCATTGAAGTCAAGATGCGAGAGTCGCGCCTACGATGGTTTGGTCATTTGCGTAGAAGATCGATTGATGCACTTGTCAGACGAGTTAAAATGTGTGGAGAAGAGGCAAGGAAGCGAGGGAGAGGAAAGCCCAAACAGATGTGTGTTAGGGAAGTCCGAAGTAATATGTTTCTTCTTAGGTTAGATGAGGGAATGGGTTTGGAGAGAGCAAAATGGAGGGCGGGTATTCATGTGGAGGAGTAATCTCGTATTATCTTTTCCCCTCAATTTTTATTTTTTTATCCTTTTATCCTTATATATAAACATTATTTTTATCCTTTTTATTTTATCTTGTTTAGGTATATTCATCTCTTGTTATATTATCATTTTCATAATAGCCTATCTTTTTTATCTTTATTTTCTCTCTTTTCCTTTTGGCGGTGATATCATGTTAGCCGACCCCAATATCTTTTGGGACTAAGGCTGGGATGTTGTTGTTGTTGTTGTACTAGTAAGAAAATGTTCTTTGTTAAATATACTTTCATAAAAGTATAAAACTTATAACTTTCATACTATTATACTAATCAAAATCACAGTTCAAATTTTACCAAAACACAAAGTTTTTTGTGGGATAGAGGTAGTATTAGACTTTAGGAAGATAAAAATAATAATGATTTTAAATCTGGACAAAAATGTGACTACTTAAAAGTTAAAACCTTTGAAAGGGAGTCTAGCCGTTTCCTTTTTCGATTTATGGATATCAAAGCATATTTATTTATTAAGCTACATAAACTTTTATTTCTAGCAATACCAATGAGTAATATATATATATAGCAAGTTTTGAGCTAAGCAATAGAACTTAAGAATGTTTTTACTTGAACTATAATTTGTTGGTCTGGTCTGGTTTGATCTGTTTAAGTCTAGTCTGATCTAGTCTGGTAAACTTTCGGTCTGTGTGTATTTATAACTACGGAACTCAAGTCTGATATGGTCTGTTTAAGTGTTGGAAAAATGGTTTTACAAATTATATATTATTTGTAGAAAATCATTTTGAAATGAATGAGAAATTGTATCCCGAAATTCTCTTTGAAGCAAGGTTCGTGTAGGAGTTGTTCGGGGCCGCCGCCGCCGTGATGTTGGCTGGATACGTCGGGTCGGGTTTTGAGTACAGGTGGGTACTCGCGCGGCTTTAAGACTTAAACGTTATTTTTTGTACAAATTATTTTCGGATAAAAACAACTTTAAGAGAAGGGTCGCTACGTTTTCTTAACAGACACCTTTTGTGATTGTGTCTCCTGACCAGAGCACTATAAATCCCATTAGGAGGCCTTCGTTTTCCATCGATAAGAAGTCTGAAAATTGCTTAACGTTTTCCCTAATCTTCCTCATCCAAATTCCACCACTTTAGTGCATCATTTGGTTCGCCGGTGTCCTTCGGGAATGAGAAATCGTTCTATCCTAAGAGGCGATTGCTACTCTGTGTTGAGGGCAAATTCGTCTTAAGGAGACAATGATTCATTGGGCTCGGTTTCATCCAAGTATTTCTAATTACTTCTATTTTATTTAATTAATGCATGCAGAACGAATAACATTAAGTCTGGTCTTGTCGATTTAACTCTAGTCTGGTCTGGTCTATGTAAATCTTGTCTAGTCTGATATGGGACCGAAAACAATCCAACTAAAAACATGGTAAGTGATGATGGTATATACGTAGTTGTGTATATTCACTTTTAACTTGTGGGGAAAAGGGGCAAATAAGGCCACGTACTAACCAAAAAAGGTCAAATAAGGCCTTATTTATGGGGCTCTGTCCGGCCTTCGTCATTTGGGGTGGCTTCAAGAATTCATTTGAATGACTTCCCGATTGAAGTTTTAGCTGAAATTTGGTATGAGTAAACTAGACTTACTGAATAAGATGCTAAAAAAATTTCATCAAAAAATTCCACCGGGAACCACCCCAAATGGCGATGGCCAGACATAGCCTCTTAAATAAGACCTTATTTGACCTTTTTTTATTATTATATGGTCTTATTTGCCCCTTTCTCTTGTAGTAACAAGTTTCAAACTTTCGAGTGAATGCATCTCGCATTGCAATCAATGAGTACTCCACACTGATTGCACTTTACCGAACAAATGCATGTGCGGGTAGTTATCTTCTCGTGGGAGTCCCAGTGTCCCACTATCATGAGATGAGATTCATGTACCAATTCATGTACCAAGTACTACTAAAAACAGCCTAGTTTTTTGCGTTTTAACCTCTACCGTTTTTGAAACGAAAAATTATATCGGTCAGTTTAAAAAGGAAAAATCTCATAATTCCCGTATAAAACATATATTTTCCGTATTTTACAAAAAAAAATGAAACATAACTTGATCAATTGAATAAATAAATTAAATGCATATATATGAGATCAACAATAGCTTAAAAGAAAAAAGAAAACCCCCTCCCCGTGACCCTGTGTTTTTGTATTGTTACAATACAAAATATACAACTATTAAATACTACGGAGTAAAATAATTGCATCACAGTTAAAACAAGCATCCTTAAAGACTAGAGCTTAAAAAACTATGTAGTACAATATTTCAGATGTTTTTCCAGGGTTTAATGCATCAAACCCCATCATGATATAGCAATTCAGCGCATTAGCTCCCTGTGATTTGAAAAATGCGTCAAACCCCCTTGTGTTTTAATTAATCATGCACAGAACCCCTTTTATGAATAAACTTAAAGTTTTGGAAATCACTTTTCCTAACATTCTGATTGAATATGCAAGTAAATATGTCAAAATCTCTAAATCATACATAAATATTAATCATTTTTTTATTTGACAATTGCATTTGTTCATTGAAGGGATTTTGCGCATAATTAATTTTAACACAAGGGGGTTTGATGCATTTTTTAAATCATAGAGGGCTAATGGGCCGAATTTCCATATCTTAGGGGAGTTTGGTGCATTAAACCCATTTTTCCAAACAAGTATCATGCTCAATTGTTAGCCGACTTATAGTCTTATACCTAAAAGCACGATGCATGAGAAAGACAATTATTTTGCTCAATTGTTAGTTGATTTAATTGCTCAATTTATACGTAAAAGCACTAAGTATGAGAGAGAAAATACTTCCGCTCAATTTATTAGCCGGCTTATGGCCTAATAACTAATAAGTTTTTTTCCCCAAAGCTTTATGGCTTCGTATGTAACAAATTTTAATTTGTTGATTTTGCCTCCATCGATTTAGTTATGAAGTTGTTTTAACTCAATTTATAAAATGCGAATTCTTAACTTAGTTCAGATTATGTTACTACAAACGCTTAAAAAAAGTTCTTCTCTACTTTTGACTTTAAAAAGTTAAAATTAGTGTTTTCAAGTGACAATTATTACTACTTAAAAAAAAGTGTTTCTCAGCTTTTGGCTGAAAATAACTTTTTATTATTTATATTAGACAAAAGCACATATTTTACCAAACATTACTAACTTTTACTTTTCAAATTAAAATCAATTTTTCTCAAACACCATCAACTTTTAATATGAATCACCTTTTCCAAAATCACTTCAAAAAGTGCTTTTTTAAAAGCAAAAACATTTGGAAACACTCCCTAATACTAATTAGTTAGTAGATGATGTTATTCAAAGTTAGAATCTCTCTTTATCCTGGTGCAGATTTACATCTGGATTAATTTTATATGCACAAACTACAATATTAATTGTTCCACTTTAAGAGGCTACAATAACAACATTTTTTGGGTATATTCATTTGTCATTAGTCGAGGAAGATGTTATCGATACTTTTTGTTATTTTACTCATTCTAACTTTACAAATTTAAACATATACCAGAGTTACAATAATTTTGAAAGGCCACCCTCTCAAAGTCTGAGTATAAGAAGTCTTTAAGATTAAATGAAAGAGTCTTTAAGATTAAATGAAAGGCCACCATCTGAAGTGTGTACTAATGAAAATTCTTAAGCTCATAAGCTATATTTCAACATCTCAGCATTATGAAATTAGAAATTATAAAAGATGTGTTGTGAATTTGAGTTTTTGGTTAGAAATTAATTTTTTTTATTGCATTGTTTTATGAAAATATTGCATGAACACTTGAATTCCTCAGATTATTTATCACTACCTCCGTCCCAAAAAACTTTTCCATTTTTGAAACTTTTACCAATTATATATTTTTTATTGGAAATAATTTGTAATATAAAAATTATATAAAAATGTGCTTTGTTAAAAGTACTTTCATAAATTTATAATTAACTTTCATGATATTATACTAATCAAAATCATTTCAAAATTGGAAATGAAACTTACAAAGTCCAAATTTAAAAGTATTTCGGGCATGGCAATATGGCATGGGTTCATTCGAAGTTTCGAACAGTAGTTCTTCCTTTTGTCCCAGTAAACTATTCGACCTCCTTCATGACTCTATCTTCTTTCTCGTAACTTCTTCATTAATATTATTTTTATGTAATTCGTATCTAAGAATTACTAGTATAAGACTAATATATTGCTATAATTTCGGGCATCTATATTTTTAAATTTAACTAATACAGGATCGAGTAATCACCAATTAATCCTGAGTACTTGATCCTACTCGCTACTCGTCCCTAGATCGAGTTGTTGTGGAGTAGCAATTTAACTACTTAGCCTCCTACATATTGCACTCCCCCTCCTTGCTCATTTAGTACTTTTCCTTCCCAATGAAAAACAAATGGAAAGTTGGAAAAGTTCACATTCTAACAACAACACATATTACAAAAAAGAATGAATAACCATATCATTTGTATACAATACAATGTACTCCTAAACTCCTTCGTTTTCATCGGTATCACGGTATGTAGAAGTTAAATGTATTAAGACTTGGAAAAAAATGCAACAACTTAGCAATAAATTACCAACAGTTTAGTAAGCAGTTAACAAAAATTTATGAAACAATTAGCAAAAATTTAGCAACAAATCAATGTAATAAAAGAATTCACCAACACTTTCTACTCCTAAACCCCTACACATCTTTGCTAAAAATACAGACTTCTAAATACGTAGTATATGCCAACAATTTACAAAAATTCCTACTCCCAAATTCTGCACAACTTACCAACAAGTTACGTATTCAAACACAAATCCAAGTTTCAGATTAAGTGAATTAAATAGTTTTTTGTAGTACCTAGAAGAGTTGCAGGAGGAGGAGGTGTGGTGGAAAGGTGCTCTTCAAACCTGCCCTTCGACGTTCCTACGCAGATTGGTCTGTAATGACGGGTGGAGGAGACGGGAATTTAAGTTGAAAAACTCCAAATGGTGTGCGGCTTATAAGTGGCCACATTTTGATGGAGGAAATTCTAAAATTAAGGGAGTTTTGAACCTCACATGCAAATAGTACGAGAGTTCTATTTCGTCCTACCTCCTCGGTTTCAAATTATTTGCATATTTGACTTTTCTTAGTGAAACAGTTCCATTTTATTTGTTTAATTAGGATGTCAATGTTTAATTATATTAAGGTGACAATTCCGGTACCTTTCTAAAAACAGGGGTACCGTACCTAACATTCATTTGATTGGACCACATCAATTTATAAATTTTAATTTAGATTTAAATAATTCAACTGCGACCTTTTCATTGGTCCATGTGGACAAATGTATGGTACCTTATGGGTACCATAGAAACTACCATATATTAATTCTAATTTGTAGTTTGCAACTTTCAAGAGATTTTAATGTAGTTTCTAAATATGTAAATTTTAATTATTAAAAAGTGAGTTAAATATCAATAGGAGGATTGACTTTTATTCTTGATTGACCAAAACATGTTAACTTTGCAAAACAATTTGGGACTGAGGGAGTATGAAATAACAGGTTTCAGAACATCGTACTTCCTGACTTTGCAAAACAATTTGGGACTGAGGGAGTATGAAATAACAGGTTTTAGAACATCGTACTTCCTCGATCCTAAATAAATATTTTACGTTTTTTAAGAAAATGGAATTTTTTTTCTCAAAATAAATAACGGAATACTTACTTTTGACTTTCTCATCATGCACTTACAAAAAGTAGATTGTGTGTAGAGAAAATGAATGTAAAGTAAATAATGAAATAATGATATAAAAGTAACTTCATATTAAAAAGTTACCAAAAGTAAAAGTGTGAAGTTTATTTTATTTGGATCTATTCAAAAAGAAAAGTGTGAAGTTTATTTAGGATCGAAGTGAGTATAAGTTTTTATTTAAAGCATTGTAAGTTTTTTTAATTTGTATTCCAAATTTTGCATAAAATATATCAACAAAATTAACTTTTAATTGGGTTGCAAAAAGACTTTTTATTATCTTTCATATAACACTAATAGTTCATATATAAAGTTTAAAAAAATTGGGTCTAAGAACCTCCTCCCATAGAGACTTCACTTTTCTTAAAAACCTTATATAGGCAAAGTTACTGTCATATAAAAGATCATAAAAATTTATAGGTTTTATATATTTTTATAAGAATTGGAATACAGATACAAAAGTTACAACACATATAGAAAAATTAGTTTTTACTTCTAACCTAACCCCACCCTACCTCTCATCCCGGAACTTATCTCCATCGGGTTTAATGCACCAAACCCCTTTGTGATGTTAAAATTAAGTGCATTAACCTATTGTGAATTTGTGATATAAAAATGCATCAAAAAAGTTTGTCGAGCTAAATTCTTTTCAAAAAACGAAAAGAAATCGTTTGTTCATACACAATTTGGCTGATGTGTAAAATGACGTGTACAAAAAATGTATACAAACAACATTTTTCGTGTAGCATTTGTGCAAATTAGGATGTTTTTACGTGGGTATGTTTCCAATCCAAAATCAGACCAGACTAGACTTTATGAGAATTATGAGGGAATGGCTGGGATCAAAGGTGAACGTACGTAGGGGGCATGTATGTCAATCCTCCAAGTATAGACTCAAACTCCGGACCAAGACCAAGTAGGGCGTATTCAATAAGGTCCTTATCATTCACCAGATAGTTGACGAGTGCAAGGGAATCCGAAGCAACTTTAATTTCCCGAAGATATTGATCCATAGTTTGATTTGCCTTCTTCTTGATGTGAGACAGTTGGCGCTTAATTTCCATGGAACGGGCCGTGCTTGCGGACATGAATTTGTTCCGAAGACAATCCCAAATTTGAAAAGAAAACTTAAGCTCATGGACATCAATCAAAATATCTCGATAAAGAGTGACAAAAAGCCACGAACGTGGTCAATTTTCAACCAGTGTTGATAATCATTGTTCACAACCTCCCTACGAGAAGCATCCAAAATATACGGGGAAGGAACATGAATTGAACCATCCAACACGCCCAACAAACTATGAGAGACTAAAAAAGACTCAAATTGTGTTTTCCACTGTAAATAATCTTCAACCGATGCCAACCGAGTAGTAACAATATTAGTGACATCCGGAGTGGAGAATGTCAATTGTGACGCCATAGTAGAAAGGTGTGAATGAGAATTACCAGTGCCCTGGAGATGATGATGTAAGGGCATAGAGGAAGAACCAACCTCGAACTGTCCAGCAACACCCGAGCTCGAAGAAGGGAACAAACTGCCAGGCGCGAGAGACAATGGCGGCGAGGCAGTGAGCGTAGGCTGCCACATAAATGGCTCAGGCATCTGAAACAAGGAATAAGATGACACACATGGGCGGTTGGAATTGTAAAGCACCGAGGAAGGGATCGCGGTCTGCTCCGGCATGAACAAGTGCATGGGGCGACTCACAGGAGGCAACTCCGTATGAGAGAATTCGGGCGCCTGGGAAAATAAAGATGATGACTCGGTGGTGATGATACGATCACTGCCATTGGAGGCAGTTGGTTCGATCGAAGCAGAAGGTTCGGCCGACATGGTGATGGCGGAAGATATGAGTTAGGGTTAGAATCGTAAGGCCTTAGCAACTGATACCATATGAGAGGTATGAGGGAATGGCTTACGCTAGAGCTAGCCGTATGCATGTATATATAATAATCCAGGAATAAGGAATTACAAGAATATCCCTACAATATTATCTATTAGACTTAAACAGACCAAACCAGAGTTAAACAGACCAGACCAGGCTTAAACAGACCAGACCAGACCAGACCAAACTTAAACAGACCAAACCGGACTTGACTTCTGTAGTTATAAAATACACAGAGACCAGACGTTTACCAGACCAGACCAGACCAGTTCGGACTAAACCAGAACAGACTTAAACAGACCAGGCCAGATCAGATCAGACTTAAACAGACCAGATCAGCCAGCAAATTACGGTCCAAGTAAAAACATCCTTATTTTGAGATGGAAGGAATGGTAGTCTGTAGTCACCATAAGAAATAAGATTGGGGAAAATAATTTAAATACTCCAAATTTTAATGAGGCGTGAACTAAGTACTACAAACTTGTCACGCCCCGGACCGCATCCAAGCGCGTGTACAAACAACATCACATATTTGGATTGAACGAATTGTGGAAATATTCAATATTCAATCATGGGCCACACATGGCCAAAGCGTGGACTTGCAGGCAATTATTTTTGAAACATATTTTATTAATAAAATAAAAAAAAAGATATAGAAATAGCTAAAATAGTTATCTACATACAGTAACTTGAGTCAATACGACCTCTTATGGATCACATCTTTAAATCCTTATTCTTACTTTTTTTTCATTTGTTCAAAATGGGGACTGAAGGAGTTTTTTCCCGAAATAATGCTAACTAAATAATTAATTCCCAAAATACTGTTGGGTTAAAAATAATTCCCAAAATACTGTTGGGTTAACCGTGGTTAAGAAAAGCCGCCACTTGAAGTGGCGGCTCTTCTCTTACAGTACAAAAGCCGCCACTTCAAGTGGCGGCTCTTCTCTTACAACACATTTTGTACATATATAAAACGCAGTATGTTTCAAGAATTTTTTTAACCATCTTCCCGATTGAATTTTGAGCTGAAATTTTGTATGAATAAACTAGACTTGATGAGGAACATGCTCAAAAACATTTTATCAAAAAATTCCACTGGGAAGACCCTCTGATGGTGTTGTCTGCACGGGGTTTCCGGTCAGGACGTCGTGACAGAAATAGGAAATTTTTATGAAATTTGAGGTGCTTCCGAGTTGATTTTGTTGATGACATTTGGTGATCATGTTCTTCCTAAAGTGTAGGTTATGTTCACCGAATTTCAGATTAAATTTAAATCAAGAAGTTAGTTAAATTATTTATTGAAAAAACATGCATTTTTAGGCCTAAAACATTGTGCAAATTTTCAAAAATTTGTTTAACTAACTTCCCAATTGAAAGGAACCAACTGCAGATTCGAGCTATCACCGCCATCATTATGCCCTTAACAAACAATTCTTTCTCTTTCACTTGCTAAATAAAGATGAACTCTATTTGAGCAGTTTATGGCCATTGGAAACAGTTTCAACACTCGTATCAATTATTGCTCTAAGTTCCAATTGCAGAATCACAGTTTGCCCAATTCACTTGAGCTCATGTTTGGAAGGCAACGGTAAATTCAAGTTCTGTAATCTAGAGAAGCATGTGTAATCCTACAACATACAAACTATTGATAGAAATGCTCAAAGTAATGTAAAAATGGAAATGCATATCATATATAAGACATGCAGCTAAAACATGATGACTTATGGGCAAATTATCAACAAATATGAAACAATAAGAAATTATAAAATATTGCTTCTGGGAAATAACATACCAAACGATTTAGTTGCATATGATGGACAGTCTACCCGGGGGTACCTTATCCGAGGGGTTATTGCGGGAATAACTAGAGAGAAGTCAGAGTAAATAGGAGGAGAGAGAGTCGATTTTATTAAATGAACTCAGCGTGTGGAGTTGGGATGTGGGATCGTTTACAAGGAGAAATGGGCTGCTATTTATAGCAGCAATAAATGCGATGAGAGTACACGTGTCAGTAATCCAACGGCCGAGGGGTCACATCAGCCGGGTGGCACCGGCAGTGGTACGTTCACCGCATTGAATGCGGTTGGCGGATGTGACGTCGCATTAAATGCGGTGGTTGGCTGTCTTCAAAGGGAATATTTGATGATTGAGCATGTTCGGCCGAAGGTTCCTTATGTAGCCGAGGGCTCCATGGAACCGAGGACCCCTGTGTAGCCGAAGGCCCTGTGTGACCGGAGGCTTGGTTCAGCCGAAGGCTTCTCTGATGCTGAAGGCTCATGTTTTTCGCCGTTTTCTCCCAGTAGCTTCGTATGCCAGAGAAGGCTATCCTGTGAGTTTTGGAGCCTTCGGCCAAGGAGGCCGAAGGCACCCCAGTGTGTATTCTGGGCTACTTTGAGGCTTG